TCCAAACTTTCACAGTCAAAATAATCTGTAATAACCAATAACTTCCATTTCTCTCAAACATATCCCACACAACCTAAGGACACTGGTGAATGCACTACACAGCAGTAACGACATAAATATTCCTCCCCAGTAACAGTTCTTACCATTTAGGAAGAGATGCAGCCCTTAACAGCTGAAATACCTTTGGCAGTTCAGGCCATACTAGGCCACACACCACGAATATTTTCCAAACAAAAAGGAGCAATACAAACAAAATAATTTCCTAAACATCCCCCAATTTGTGGATTTCAAAATAAAACATCCAAGCCCACCATCATCTGCTACAGAACAGTCAGGAAGTTGGTCTAATTTAGAAGATCCAAGGAATTTAAAGCCAGGAGGCCTATTGAAATCATTTAGCCAAAGGACAACAAGTACTAACAGTATGAGTAGCATTCCCATACTAGGGTTACACTGTATAAACAGAAGCAGAGCTTGCCATTGTAATCATCACCAGAAACCTGAACGCTGGGAGAGGAAACAAACTCACAGAGACTACTTCAGTCCAGCGTTACTGTGCCATCCTAGGGGGATCTGCATCTCTTATATGGGAGCTACCATACCGCCGTAGGACAGCCAATGCCATGTCCACTCTGAGATCTACATCCACAGGACTTCCTCTCTCTGGTCACCCCTGCACTTCACAATCCTGATGAAGAACTCACTTATATCAAAGATGTAGTACACCGCTCACAGAATCACTCACCCCAAAACAATCTACACTCCTATTTGTGGATTTGAAACACCACCCAGTTTTCCATGTGCATAATTCAAAAGCTTGCATTTGGTCTCTAAAAAGACATCCATACTCAAGACGAAAACATCAAGAGCTAGATAATCCACCACTACCCTCCTCTGTTACAATTATTACTCACCCTTACCATTTACCACTTGTGCCTTTCAACTTGATCCCACTCAGCTTCACTTTCCAGCCACTGGATCTTGTTAAATATAAACTGAAAAAAGCACTGCATTTCAGTAAGAAAGTGTTTACATGGGGCAAGAAGGTGCTTCTCACAGTTTCTGATAAACGTGAACAGGTTTTTTTCAAGTCTTTCACTGCAAGGCATTATTAAAATACTTAACTCTCTTGTTTAACAATGACTTTTAAGGAGAAAACTTCATCATTAGTATTATCACATGCTCAACCAAAAATCATCTCCTTGTTCCTAATCAGGACACCACCTTTAAAAAAATAGATCAAGAAATATATTACATGCTTTTTAATTAAAGCATTATACTGGAAGCTTCTGTTGAACTGTTTGTTCATATTTATATTCTAGCAGTCAATAAATTTCCAGATACAATCCCATGCCTCTGTTCCTTATCTTCAATACATTACTTTGAATACGACTGCACTAATAAGCATAACATAATATGAATTCTGGATCGTTTTGTACAGTTGTTGGGTCCTCCCCACTTAGTACCTATTCATCTTGTTCATCTGCAAGTTTTATTAATGCAAATTTTGTTATTACTTCCAAATAATTCATGGAAACAAATCTCAAGTCTAGTAGATTAACTCCTCTAAAACTTTTAGGAATAATGACATTCAAAAATAATTCTCTCTAGCAACTATTTCTAAGACAGACCAGTTAGCCAGCAGTTCTCCATCAATTTATCATACATTATAAGATCATTCTAAGTATTACATGAGCAACTGACGTCACTTGTTGTTCTTCACCACTAAAATACTTACATGCTTTGCTGCTCCACTAATAATCTTACAACAATGCTAGAAGATCTACACTGTCACACTGAGCTTAACTTGTGGTAAGAAGAATCGATACCCTTTGAAACAAGAGTCTATTAAAGTTCAGCTTGCTTTCACGTGGAAGGGAGGGAGGCCCATGAACTCAGTCAGCAAGACACCACACAAAACCCACCAAAAGCAGTCCTATCAATTTCCTAGAGCATTTACATTTTCAGCCATGCTTCTATCTCTTCTTACCAAAATTACTCAATTGCTTTAAGTTGACCCTTTAACAAATGAATAAATAGATCTTCCAGCACTCTGTATTTAAACAATTTTTCATTATTCCCAAGACCACCCTTTCTTCAACGTTAATACCGCATTCATATCATCTCAGGGCAAAACACAACAAAGCCATAGTCATACAAAAAAACCCAACACATCCCTTCCAAAAAATCCCCTCAAAAAACTTTTAAAGTAATCCAAATTAGCCAAAGCAGAGACAGTAAGAAGTGAAAGCATTTAAAAAAAAAAAAAAAAAGCACAGAAAAAAAATAGCTGGAAAAGATACATGGAATCATAGAACAGTTTGGGTTGGAAGGGACCTTAAAGACCATCTAGTTCCAACTCCCTGCCACAGGCAGGGGACACCTTCCACTAGATAAGGTTGCTCAAAGCTCCATCCAACCTGGCCTTGAACACTTCCCTAGACAGGGCATCCACAACCTCTCTGGGCAACCTGTTCCAGTGCCTCACCACCCTCATAGGGAAGAAATGACATAGTGAAGCATTGCACAGACAACAGTAGCATGAAACATAAGAAACCAGGAAAGATTTTGACTGTCCTATAAAGAGCATCAGTTTTATATATATACAAATGTAAGAACTGATTATCTGCTCCAACATCATTACCTACATAAAGATATGATGCTATTTTCTCAAAAAGTAGAAGTCACTGAGTATTAAGTCCCCCGACCATCAAAAATGACAAAACACAAGTATACTACATTGTTCAGCGGGCAGGTCTGTGACAATACAACTCTGCTACTGCACAGAATCCTCAAGCTTTTAAAAGAGCATTTCTGGAGTTGCTGTTAACAGCCAGTCTCACCACCGTTAAAAACATCCTCCTCTTTTAAAGTTTGTCTCCACAAATGGATTTTAAGGACTAAGGGAACATCCACTGAAATCCATATAAGTACTACCCTGTGAGAGTAAGACATAGCCAAACACTCAGCATTTAAAAAAAAATCAAGTTTAAAAAGCCCTCCAAACTAGTTAGATAAGTGATATTTATTGCATATTAAAATATTCAGGTTGGTGCTACAGCACATGATATATGTTCACTTCCTTCCCCGTCTTCTGTACACACTCAATTTTATACATCAGAGGAACACTATAAAGTTCTACCAGCTTAACTAGTGAAAATCACCAATTTAAATTGAGACATTTTTGTTCACCATATAGTAATGACTCAAAGCTGATTTACCAAAAAATAACGTTCAATCTTAAGAACACAATGCTTTTGTAACAGCCTGTAGAAGCTTTTTATTCCATTTCATAGTTTTAGACTGCCCATCTGAAGTTTCCACAAGTTAAGAATATTTTCTTTCAAAGAACATCAACATCCAATAGTCTAGATAGTTACTGAAAATTTCTGTCACTTCTGAAAAACGTCAGACACTGCAAGTGAGGGTAATTCTCCAGTAAGTCTTAAGAAACATGTAGCATCACTCTTGACACATCACTTTAAAAACAAAACAATACAACAAAAAAGATCGAGACACTTATTGGAATGCACTGTTTTCATATTTAACCTTCAGAAAAGACGGGTCTATTTTAAAGTTACAAGCGAGCACAGTCTGGAGAAGCAGAGAAGAGTGGGTAGGATACACAATCACATATAGAGGCCTATAGAGCCTCTTCAAGTCATCAAGAAAACTGAAAGTGTCTTTAAGATGTTGTTTAAGGAAAAAGAGTGCCATCTGTTTAGCAAAAACTGGAGCCTGGCATATGCATTAATCTTTTCTGTAGGCTGAGAAATCAATTCTTACAATCCTTAATGTATCAGATGACAAGTCCACACGTAAGAGATTTTCTAAACGGTTTAAAATACATTTGCAAACACACTAGCCCCTTAACATGCATGCATGCTGTTGACAAAGGCGAGAGGCACAAAAGAAGAATAAACGAAACGACCTCTACATGTTACCTGTAAACATTCCTCCCACCGCCTCGGCAACACATTGAAAAATACGGACCGTTTGCTTTCAAAATAAACACCACGCCGCCCAGGGAGCGCTGGGCTGGACCGGACCGGGCCCGACCCGCATGCCAGTGCCAACAAAATACACAAGGAAACACATTTATTCCTCCTCCGAGCCGCTACCCGCCGGGTTGCCGGGCCGCAGCTCGCCCTGGGGTGGCGGGGGCGGGCGCCGAGCCCGGCGGGATTCCCTCACCTCCGGGTGCAGGATGGGAACACAACCCGCTTCTTTCTCGTACTCCTCCAGAGGCGCCGCCATCTTGGTACGAGCCCGCCGCCCGCTGCATGCCGGGTAATG